AAAAAAAAAAAAAAAAAAAAAGAAGTGAAATGAACTGAGTTTACAAAGAAGGACCTGGTTCCCAATCCCACACTCTCGTAGCACCCAGCCCCAGCTCCACTCTGGCCGGCGGACCCCATAGTCAAGGTGCGAGTCTCTCATAGAGCCAGTCTTCCTCTCCGCGGTGGGTCATGGTCCCCAAGGGGGAATCTCCCGTAGGTAGGCCCCGCCGAAAGACAATCCGGTCATGCAGGCGGTTGGTTTGGCCTTGCCAGAACTCCATCACCTGCGGATACAGGATGTAGCCACCCCTATGCAGAGAAACAGAGATTTCAGTGCCCTGTGGGTTCTTCCAGCCAGGGCACACTCCCACCCTCACCCCTCATCCCAGGGTCTCTTGAAGGAGGTCGCTGGGATGCATCTGATCAGGGTTGCTAGGGGGGAGCAGACCTGTAATTCCACAGCCAGGGTGGCTTCAAGTAAATGTGGGGGTCCTGGTGTCCCTTTCCAGATGACTCCCTGGCATCACTCACCAGTATTTTGGCTTAGGCACCTCTTGTTCCTGGTAGAGTTGCTGCAGTTCCTCATTTTTCTTTCTTAGATACTGTCCAGGAGAAGGAGACAGAGAAAGGGCCAGGTCTAGTTAATAATTCCCTGTATAAGGATGTCCTCAGCACTTTGGGAGGCGGAGGCAAGAAGACTGCCTGAGTTCAGTCTGAGCAACTTGGTGAGACCTCGTCTCTACAATAAATAAAAAAATTAGCCAGGTGTGGTGGCACATGCCTGTGATTCCAGCTACTTGGAAGGCTGAGGTAGAAGGATCACCTGAGCCCAGCAGGTCGAGGCTGCACTGGCTGTGAGCCTGCTACTGCATTACAGACTGGGTGACAGAGTGAGATTCCGATTCAAAAAAAAAAAAGGATGTCCTGAGCATGTGCACTGGGGCAGGCACTGGGGACACAGGAGAGCAAGGCAGACTGGCCTCTGGACCACACAATCAACAGGAGTGCCAGTTGGTTTCCTTGCTCCCAACCCCTACCTAACCAAGGAGATCATCCTTTACAGTTTTTTCACTTTGCTGGAGAGAGAGGGCCCTGGCATCTCCTGGGGATAGTCTCTGGGGAGGAGCCAAGGCCTGGCCACATGGAGGACTACAGAAGAGTCCCACTCACCTTCCGATCGGGGATCACAGAGCTCTGGTGACTGACCACAGCCCCAACCTGGCTGCTCTTGGGGCGGGAGTGGAAGTAGCTCTCAGCCTCCTCCTCAGGCAGCTTCTTCACGGGGCCCTCCACGCGTACCTGCTTGGGAATGGCCCTGGCTGATGGTGTCCAATGCTCCCTGCCCTCCCTCCCAGCACAGGCCTCTCTGTTCCTCTAGCAATTGCCCCACCACTCCTGGCTCCAACTAGACCATCTAGTTGAGAACTATTTGGGAGGCAGAGTACCTAGGTGGGTCACCTGCCCTGTCTGGAGATCTTCACTGAGCTCATCCATAAACTCAGGCCCCAGCCAACCCTGCCCACCCTAGGCTGTCCTGGGAAGATACACTTACCTGACGGTTAAGGGGCTCCCAGTAGAAGACAAGGGAAGCAAAGGGATTAGAGTCCTGAAACAAAAGAAAATTCCCAGATAGCCATCAGGACAGGGAGAGGATGCCTCTAGCATATAGAGGAAGGCAGGAGACCTATACTTGCGGGCCGCAGCAGATGCATTCACTGTGATATCTCATTTAAACCCTCAAAGGTAGGGTAGATGCGGAGACAGGCTCTCAGAGGCCAAGTAATGGCCTGAGTTCACAGTCAGTATTAGAACAGGTTTTAAGCCAGTCAGACTCCAAAGGGAGGCATGGCCATTGCTCTCACCTCATGGACTTTTGAGTCCTGAGACTGTATGTTTGGCTGGCATGGACTCAGGGAAGGCTACTCATTCTGGATTGATTCATTGGATACATATGAAACGCCAGCTTTGGCTGGGCATAGTAGCTCATACCTGTAATCCCAGCATTTTGGGAGGCCAAGGCAGAAGAATTGCCTGAGACTAGGAGTTTGAGACCAGCCTGGACAACAGTGAGACC